CAACGTTTCGGAAGAACGCGTCCCTTCCATCCTCAGGGTAGGAGAGTAGTCTCTGAGGTTCTCATTACGTTGAGTATGAAAATTAATATTTTACGATGTATGACCCCGTGTGGACTTGTACATGTTTGAGATAAACATCTTCAGTGGCTGGCTTCTCTGAATCGTCGGTAAAAAAGAAACATACCAGAATACACAGTCTTACGCCCAAGAAAGCAAAATTCTTCATATTGAAAACTGGATTTATTGAACATTCGTAAATTTTAACTACCTATATCAGTCTCATCGATTTACGCACTCTGTAAATCATTGCAAATCCAGCAAACACAAAGTNTATAAGTTTTATATCGTGTAACAGTATGATATATAGTGGGAGTCGGGATAGCTCAGTCAGTATAGGTACTGGCTATGAGCTGGACAGTGGAATGAGGTAGGTCTCTACGGTCTCCACTCTACAGCGTCCAGACCGTCTAGACGCATTCTGAGACCCAACCACTGGATTCGGGCTTAGTTAAAGTCAAGAATATGTGGATCTATTCCTTCACTTTCTTATGCGACTCCATAGCCTGGCGTTTTGCTAATTAAGCATGCGGATTAGTTTATTTCTCGCTGTCTGTAAATACATTGGACGCGCTCTAAGTAAGCTGGAAGCATCAGAAAATGGGGCCGAATGCTCGACCAGTGACGTTTTCGTGCTTTGCTTATGGCAGCTGAGAGGTTCGCCACCCGGAATTAGGTTGTTCAGAATTTCTAACGAAGGCAAAAAGAAAACGGAGGCCTGTTTGTGATGGAACTACTGGTCTGATTTCAAGTTTGCGTTGTGACTCGACGTTTCAGAGAAGTTGACTACTTCTATACGCCGTGCCCAAGCAGGATGGAACTTCGTCATGAAGAACGTTGGAAGGTTTACTAGTGTATGGGATGGCCCAAAGCAAGTGAGTGTTTCGAAGGATAAAAGGGAGGCATTTTGAAAAGGAATGAACAGAAAGAGAAAATTTATTTTAAACTAGAATTGGCTTGTTTTGGTTGGATTGAGGAAGGCGTTAGAAATGTCGTATCTGCTGGGATGTGATGCCGTGTAGTCTGGTAATTTTTTGATTCAATCTTCAGGATCGAAGACAAAGCCGAGTAAACAAGCAGAAAGTGATGCTTCGGGCAAATGTACTGACTCCATTTTCAGGGTGGAGAGATGAGCCGAGGGAGCACATCAATATCCTTCTGGTCCGGTCTGTTGGCGAGACATGAAAATGTCGTGTTTTGTTACCATCGTTCGGGAATATAACGTAGGAGAGGAAGGGTGCTTGCTCAGGTCACTCTTTCACCCTGAAGGTGGGGGCAGTACGTTCCTCCGAAACATTGATATATTTCTACCACACTGTACGGGATAATATCCCTGAAGACAGTTTTCTTTGTCTCCGCTGTGAGGACGTCAGGTCACACAATAATGGTTGCAAAAGATAGGTTCTGTTCAGTCCAGTGATTCTCAGAATTTATGACACTTTAAACTCAAGATAATGAACAAATTTACTTAATCGCCCATGATTTACGGTGACAGCAGGAATTCAATTAGATTTGCCACTTTGGTACACCCACAATAGGCTGTAAAATGTTCCATGTAAAATCAAGGGAAAATTTTGCAAAATATTTCGTCAGCGCAAGTATTCAATCTTACTGCCTTTGCCACAAGTTTTATATGAGATCGCGGCACACAATTTGAGAAACTGTGGTCTACATTAAGAGCTGTCGAAGGAATTTAGTTGTTTTTTCGTATCAGTCTAATATACTGTAGACCCTACTTTATGTGGAACTCTATTTAAAGTAGGTCGCGAACCCCGCCCCCTCCCACCGGCCTGGAATTGCGGTCCGCTGTTTGAAAAACCTCACATTGGTGTATAAAATTTGAAGGGAAACTGTAAGCGCACAGTAGCAGCTGCCGCTCTTGATAAAAGTTGAGCTGTTTGCTAATTCCGCGCTCTTAATTATTTCGAGATCCCAGCCTTGGATTCGCTTTATGTTGTTAAACTTTTATAAAGTCGCTTGTATACCGGAACCAACGCGCTCTGTGCTGTAGAGACTTCAGTACTTCCTCCTCGCCTCCCCTCGCAGTGCTTCTCTGTTGAATTCAATGTAGAACTTCAATTTTTGCTTGTGCCATTTCAGATAAAGTTTTTATAAATGTGAGATCTGTCATTATGATTATGCAATTTCATGTTTCCGTGGAATCTGTCTGTACACGTTGCATGAACTGAATTTGTCACGAATGAGAGAATAGCCTTTTGTTTTCTGAGTATCGTGTGTATTCTGTGAGTATTGATAATAAATGTTTGTGGATATGTGTAGTGTAGTATGCTGTATAAAAAAGACGGTTTAGGATTGAGTAATCTGCGAGTTATTCGTGGGAGATGGCGTTAAACATCGGTATCCCCGCATTGTTCGACATTACTGAGGCCTGGAAAGGAATAAAAACCGGAGAAACCATTGCAAGTTGATAGTACGTAAGATTATACAGAGTGATTATAAATTATTGTCGGGTTTTCCGTGGCCTATACACGGAAACCCTGACAGTAATTTAGAATNCGCGCTCTGTGCTGTAGAGACTTCAGTACTTCCTCCTCGCCTCCCCTCGCAGTGCTTCTCTGTTGAATTCAATGTAGAACTTCAATTTTTGCTTGTGCCATTTCAGATAAAGTTTTTATAAATGTGAGATCTGTCATTATGATTATGCAATTTCATGTTTCCGTGGAATCTGTCTGTACACGTTGCATGAACTGAATTTGTCACGAATGAGAGAATAGCCTTTTGTTTTCTGAGCATCGTGTGTATTCTGTGAGTATTGATAATAAATGTTTGTGGATATGTGTAATGTAATATGCTGTATAAAAAAGACGATTTACGATTGAGTAATCGTGCGCGTTATTCGTGGGAGATGGCGTTAAACATCGGTATCATCGCATTGTTCGACATAACTGAGGCCTGGAAAGGAATAAAAACAGGAGAAACCAGTGCAAGTTGATAGTACGTAAGATTATACGGAGTGATTGTAAATTATTGTCGGGTTTTCCGTGGCCTATACACGGAAACCCTGACAGTAATTTAGAATCACTCTGTATAATAAATATGAAACTGTTAAATTCTCAACGGATGTTAACAGCATTTCTTCAAAGCTACGTTCTCAGACGCCCTCAATTTTTGGCCATAGTTATAGAGATTTGCTGTCTTCTGGGCTCTAACGNGCCTGTCGTATGACAGATTACCGATGAAAAAAATGAAAATAAGTATGAAACTGTTGAATTCTCAACGGATGTTAACAGCATTTGTTCAAAGCTATGTTCTCAAACGCCCTCAATTTTTTGGCCATAGTTATAGAGATTTGCTGTCTTCTGGGCTCTAACGGCGTATCATGTGATATATAGTTTCGAACGTTTCGGAGGAACTTACTGCGTCCGTCTTCAGGGTTGAAGGATAATCCCAACCGGGGAGAAAGCTACGGATATACGGGGACAGAAGACCCGGACCGGAACCGTAAATGAACGAATAGCAGTAAGAAGAATACTTTGACGCTGAAAGATTGCAATTTAAATAGGGTCACTCCTCTTTAACAATTTATCCTCTCTTCGCTGTAAAGGAAAAGGTAAAGATGTCCCTGTAACAGGCTGTGAAGACCCATAGGGTTGTGAGACGTCGAGGCTTCCACCCCGTCGAGAGTCAGTTCAGCACGTGACAGGATTTCACTTTCGGCTTACTCTTATACGCTACAGATGAAGTGTAGAGATCCCTCGAAATCTACCAGACTGCACAGGGTCACATTTCATTAAGCAGCTGCTTTCACTCTGAAATTATGTACATCGCTCAGAGTTCAGAGGCTCCATATGACATACGTCTAGAAATTATTGATAATGTTCCTTGTTTTACTTAAGAAAAAAACAGCGTATTTTCGCGATCTAATGGCCTCCAATTGACGTGTACTCACTGCCAGTAACAGAGAGATTCAGTAATATTCTAGCTGACAGGTTCACGTGCGGCGAGACATGCATACATGATGCATGTCCACAGCGCTTCCCGCGAAAACATAGATCCATTCCACAGTCTATATGAAAATCGTATTCCTTTCTAAAGAAGCCAGCTAATCTTGTGCAGAGAACTTAGTAAATATGCCATGTAGTTTTTCAATTTATTTCACACGACACGTAATAAATAATTCTGTCACTCCACGATCTGTGTACTACCGATACAAAAACTTAGTGGCTGATTTATAAACATCGTCATCGTAGCAGATATTTGTGGCCATATTTTAGAAAAAGAAACTAATGTTTTTGTAATGTTCCTCGCGGTTAAATAGAATGTGTTCCATCAGTGGGTTTGTAGCGGGGTAACCGTGGAGAAACAAATGGCAACAAATGACAGACGTCATTGAAACTGATGGAGATCAGCAACGAAGCCATAGTGACGAGACTTTTTCAGTTCAGTTCAGTGACAATCTCAGTCGTGCCATGCATCTTGTATCAGATTTCACGGAGTCATTAGCGTCGTCCGGTCGAGCCACTGACACGCGACAGCTCCTGTCAACGTTAGATGCAGTGGCAGAAATTGGCCGCACGGTGGATGCTCACGTCCCTTTCTTGAGAATATGAGTCGTATTCTTTTGCATCTCTTGAACACAGTTCATATATTTTTGACGCTTTATTTTATAGATTTCATAGTGTCGAATTGTAGAATAATTAATTTATAACTTCTCACAACCCTGTGGGCCTCCACGGCCTGTTACAGGGACAAATTTACCTGTGAGACCAGCAACGTGCATTTAAATGACTTTGTTTTGATGTGCGGAATTGTGCTTTTAAACGTCGCTGGTACAGGCGTGCTCGGAATCGTGAATCATAATTATTTAAATATTGCTGTGGATCCTGTTGGCTCTCATCGTGCTGTTTGCCTTCTTGCAGGTGGAGCAGTTCACTGTGCTGTGGATCCTGTTGGCTCTCATCGTGCTGTTTGCCTTCTTGCAGGTGGAGCAGTTCACTGTGCTGTGGATCCTGTTGGCTCTCATTGTGCTGGGCAATTCGGCTGTCCTGGTGACTCTCTACGTCAACAAAAGGAAGTCTCGCATGAACTTCTTCATCATGCAGCTGGCAGTAGCAGGTCAGTGCTGGGTTCTTATTTAGAATTCTCCCGTCAGTTTCGGCCTCTTTTTCATGCGAATACTGGGGGACCAAATGTTTTTTAGTGTAAATCATGAAGAGATCTAGACCCACATACATCACGTTCAGTGCTGCAAAACCATGCAGATTCCGTGCATAATGTTCTCTGTCAATTATTTACAGAAATCTTCCCATATATGTATAACGCAATTACTGTAAATAATAGAAAAAATATACAATATTAAATAATTTCCTTTAAACCCCGAGTTTAACGAAAGCAAAAATAATTCATCATTGTTCTCTGTCAGTCTGCTAATTTTAATATATCGGTGAAACTTGTGAATACCTGTTATTTCTTATATTATTTATGAAGTATGTAGAAGCTGAATACAGGAGATTAACGTAAAATAGGTGATGCACATACTTACAATCGTAATTAGACTATTTACAACTTGTTTATTAAAACCGTCACAACACAACAATATTAAGGTCAGTGCATTGTTTGGCTCTGCTACATGTTTTGGCTATTGAAAATCATCACCAGGCAAATACATGGCTAACATATATACACCACTGAACTGCAGTACTAATAAAATTGGATACAATAATATCTCATATAAGAAAAAAATATATAAAACATCTGTTCAAAATAAATGATGACAGAAATGATATGTATAACCTTAGTGGGGTTTACCAACTGCAATGTGCTGACTGCCCGTTAAAATATGTAGAACGGACCGGACGTACCTTTAAAGTCAGATTCAGAGAACACATACGAGACATAAAAAATAACGGACAAAGTTTCCAAATTTGCTCAACATATATAGGACACCACACATGAATATAGTACGATAGACAAAACATTAGAAGTTCTATATATCGGCAAGAAGGGCCGAACCTTGGATACATATGAAAGATTTCACATTTACGAAATCAGCAAACAAAATATGCAACTGAATGATAATTTTACCGAAATGCTTAACCCTATATATGATGTAATCATTGATACATACAAAACATAATATACAGGCTTTCCCCCCCCTACCACCCCTTCCGCATACAGCTTATCTCTACCTCCCCTCCCCCCTCCCACCCCTGCACACTGCACTTTTAACATACATCACCAAATCAGTCGTTTACATTCCCTACAGAACGGACAGTACTTTGTAAGATGAGGCACCGACTAAATAGTAAGTAAATAATACACTACATCTTCAATACAAAAATCAATATTTAATTATAACAAAATTTAATACTATTACTCTCATATCATTTTCATATTAACATTAATATTACTACATTTACATCACGAGCCTCCAAAACAGTTTATTATATATACACAAAATATAGAATACTCTAATTTGTCCGTGGGAACACAACAAAATCACAAAAACCAACGACTGACTCGATGATGTAAAGGATCACTAGAAGAATTTTATTCTTGTTTTATACTATAACTTTTGTTTTATATAATCTAAGTTATTGTATTTTTAGGCCAAGTATTTTAATGTAATTAATATTATTGTATCCAATTTTATTAGTACTGCAGTTCAGTGGTGTATATATGTTAACCATGTATTTGCCTGATGATGGCTTTTAGTAGCCGAAACATGTAGCAGAGCCAAACTAGGCACTGACCTTAATATAGCTGTGTTGTGACGGTTTTAATAAAGAAATTATATATTTGTATAACACAACAGGATGCATGAAATGAAAACTTTATTAGACTGTTGGCATAGAAGTTTTGTTATATTGGTGCGAAAACTTTCACACAGGACGAATTTCGGATATTTGAGCTAGCAATTAGCAAACTACCTCGATGGGACTGAGTTATTCTTGAGGAAGTAACAGTTGCTCAACTACTCAAGAAATTCTCACCATTTCAAAGTTCACAAGCGCTCCCCTCTGGCCCCTATCCTAAGCCAATTGGTTAGCACCCATCAACGTGTTGCCTGTACTTCAGGCTTTGTATTTGGGAAGTCAATTATTATGATGATCAATTTTGCACATAAACGTTCCTCTGTTTAGCAAGGGATATTAAAAAAAGTGTTAATTTTGTTCTTACATGCATGGGTTTGAGTTCAGGTCAGTTTATTTCCCGGGACTCCAACGATAATACGATAATAAGATAATACTGAGAAAACAAATTTCGCTGCATGCCATTTTAATTAAAACCCTTATATTCCCGTATAACCACAGCGATATAGTCACGGAAAGCAGAACTGTGTTGCTTAACTTCGCCATTAAACCTTCTGGAGCATTTGATCGTCTCCCGCGAAGTTAATTGTGAGTGTAATTATAGAGCAATGCTGAAATGGTGCAGGAGACATGACATCTGTACCGTCTTAGACAGGAGCCGGGATAGCGGCTGGACGACCGAGAGGTCGGAGTTCGAGTCCCGGTATGGGAAAGAATGTTCTCTCCTCCATGTCGTCCAGACCTGCTCTTTGGTCCACCCAACCTCCTATACAATGGATACCGTGGGTTCTTTCCCCGGGGTTAAACCGGCCGGGACATGAATCTGACCACTCCCCTCCAACTATTGCTGAGGTCAAGAAAGTGTGGCTCTACATATCCACGCCCCCATACGTCTTCATGACGTAGTGCTTAGTTAGTTAAACACAGGGACAACTTTACCTCTACCTTCTTACCCTCTAGGATAACCTAAGCGTTGAGAGAATAAACATGCCTTTGAGCACCAACTTGAGTCGAACCCGGGCGCGCTTTGGTGGAAACGAGTTGCTGTAATCACTCACTGACAGCCTGGGCCACACGAGGATTGTTCTATGGAAAGCAGGAGCGACATGTGTGCCTGAACCCAGAAACGTAGGGACATTACATGGAATTCGCCATCACAGACAAACACAGATGATCCTCATATTACAGCGCATACAGACACTCCATTTCATTACTGAGCGGACGCTTCGTCGTGGCAGAGTGCCTAAGCACCTCGGCTTCCCTCGACTCTCTTCGATATCTCGAACTGAAACACGAGTCTCTGTGGATTCTGTTTGTCGGTATATCGAGCGAGTTGGCCAGAGCGGTTACACTTCTGATTTATAATCGGGACGTGCACGGTTCGTATCTCCGATTATAGTTTCCGAGGTTCTTTGTGGTTTTCCTCAGTCCCTCCAAACAAAAGCCGAGACTACTTTCTTTCTCATTATGAAATTGCGTTGGGCATTTTCCGTCATCCTAGATATACAGAGTGATTCTAAATTATTGTCGGGGTTTTCGTATCCTGTAATTTTCAAACCGTACTTGCCAAGAAAGGCGCACCTATATCAGTCATTTAGCATTCTGCATATTAATTCTATAAGTAATAAAACTTTCTGAGTTAAACTTTCATATTCCATAAGCAGTTTTAGTTTACTTTTTCAATTTAAAAATTATAGGGAACGGAAACCACGAAAATAATTTAGAAACATGATATTTCGGAAAGCGACTATCCCTGTCTAATGGGTCCAACTGAGTAGGATTTTCCCCTCCTACAAAAATGATTAGGGAAGCAGACTCAGCTCCTAAAACGTCTTAAACCTTTAATATACCTAAATTGATTTACAACATATGACATAAAAATATTTACGATGAAGAACAAACACAAACCATTTTCAGAGACCGCTACAGGATCACGATTGTGTCCTTCGACTTCCCAATTCAGTGCTCTCTTCTCTACCGCCGAACCATTCTACCCTCCTCGTCAGATTACAGAGAGCGCCACTAAATGATATACCGGCTAAGAAGTGATTGCACCAGAGTCAATGGATTTACCGTGTTATGAAACAAAAGTGGCATGTAGAAGAAGCACACAGTGCGTGGTAATAGCGCTACGCATGTAGATTGCATGATTTATTTCATTTTCTACAGTTGTAAAGATTACATGTCCTGCGGCTGACATTTGTGAAGCAATTGCGTCGTATCTCGACACAAGAATAATTACACATAACCTGTCTGCCTGTCTGTCTATGGCTCTAAAGCCCTTTGTTGGAACTTGGCCGTTTTTTCAGTTACTTCATCTTTTACACATTCGATAGGACTCCTTGGACGGGGGATCAGCCCGTCGGAAGGCAGCTACCTGCACACAAGACACCTCAATCACAGAATAAATTCAGACGGACATCCATGCCTCAAGTGAGATTCAAACACAACGCACGATCCCTGTGTTTGATCGAGTTCATGCCATAGACCGCGCTACCGCTGTGCTCGGCTGCACATAAACTGCGGAATTCAGTTGCTCAAGTATTATTACTTGTTTCTCCCACTTGAATGTGCGACTTGTAGACTTCCACATCTCATTTCTGCGTAGACAGGGACAACCGACGCGACGCCACCGTCAAAATTATGTACTCTGGGTACTTCGGGAGCGGCCCAAGTTATGCGATGACGCAGCGAGACGGTAGATCGATGTGTGACATTTCTTGCTGGGTCTTGTCATTATTCCGTCGCATGAGAAATTCTACATCGCCGTAACGACTTCCGATGAAATGGCCCTCTTATCGTGACGAATCGAACCATCGCTTCCCTCACATCCATTTCCAGAAATCTCAGAAAAGTCTCGCTCTTTAGTGTCTTCATTCTCTGTAATGCACGTATCTACCCAAAAACAAGACGCCTTGCATAAGCATACTACAGTGCTCTTATTTTGTGTTGTCTGCTGAGTTCGTCTGCGCAGTAAACTTGGTCGAGACGCAGACGTAGAGATGTGTGCCACTGTGATGATGGCTAATTACGAGAGTGGCGATACTTTCATGATGCACATTTTCTTATTTTCTGTGTAAACAAAAGTACACCCAAACAATAGAATCATATCTAATCCTGAGTAGTTCTACACCAATAAATGGCATTTTAATTACTAACTCGCTCATGGAGCTGAGCCCTTCTTAAGGAGCCGCAGATTCTGCAGCTACTCAAGAATTTCCCAGTATTTTATGGCACCCCTAAGGTTCATTAACATGTTCACAAGAGCCCTCCACTGCTCCATATCCTGAGCCAGATCAATCC